GAGGGAAAGGGGGGGGGGGGGGGGGGGGGGGGGGGGGGGGGGGGGGACACGACGTTGTTTAACAGATCATGGGTACTTTGATCTAAAACGGAGTGGGTTCGCGATCTACATCACCAAAATATATGACCCAAAATTATAATACTACGTCAAAATTAATTCGCTTTAAAACATGTAACACAAATATAAAATACATATTAATTGATTACTTGTATAAATTTATACTTACATATAATTTTAGATAATAGAAAATCGAGCATAAATGTAAGATAAATGGTAACTGACTTTAGTATTTATGAATCTTCTATGATATATAATAATGTATAGTAATGAAAACGATTTAGATAAGAATTCCAAAAATGAATTGCGACCCAAAACACTGTACCTGCTAATTGCTAAATCTACCCACATCGTACCGCATATCTAAGAAAGCCATGTACCACATACCAAAACAACACACGACCCAAGTAAAATTCAAGCCTGTGCTATGACTTATGAGGTTTCTTTTCAACAGACATCTAGTATTTCCAAACAAAAGGACCATGATTATACACACACATCGATATCTGACAGTAGAATGTCCTGTTGAACTCGAAATCAATCCATGATTATTCAAAACATCCATCAAACATGTAGTTAACTCAAGTAAAACAAACATAATAAAGACCGCTTACTGATAACAACAAACCTGAGAGCCAACGTGGACTGGAGCTTGTGAGAAGCCAGCTTTTTAATTGTATTTGGAACTCCAACGGTGGATATTGTCATCATCCTTTGCCCAATTTGTACATCCTTCAGACAAAGAAAAATCACTATATTTATGAACTGAGATTAAAAATCCAAACAGCAAGAATTCTCACTCCATCCCATCACTAAATAGGAGGTAACCTGTATAGAGATAGCATTATTTTAAACATCATTCCAAAATGAATGATTTGGGATTGCTCTGGACAACTTTAACCTAGCCTAATAAATTTCCATTCAAAGTTTCCCAGCCTGGGTGACCATTATAAATATGTTGTTTTCACGCTAAGAATGTGTTTATTATGGATGAAGGACACGGCTTAGTTATAGAGAACTATTCTCCATACCCATGTAAAATTTCCTTTCCCTGTCAATCATTGGTGGACAGGAAATTGTTTCATGATTAACAATAATGAAAAACGGTCTTCGATTTTTGTCAGGCAAGCATCAGAAGCTATTGGCTAGAAAACAGCAGAAAAATCCATAGTACAGTGATGCATGTGCTTCTCCTCATGCTGGCGATGTGCATCTATTTGTGCTAGAAAAGAGTGATGGAGGCAGTTTCTCCAAACTAGAAGATTACTAATAACAAAGCAAAACAAGTCACCGAGAAAAGTTCACACAAAGTAAACACTGTTGTAGGGGGAAAAAAAGAGAGTATATTGTCCATTATGCATGCATATGCAAAATTTTGTTTGCATGTGAAAATCCAATAACTGATGACGTGCCTAACACAATGGCAGACAGACCTTGTTCAAGCACCGGTGTGCTCCAAGAACTTCTTTCATGTTCAGCATCGGCTCTCCCATTCCCATAAACACTACATTTGTAACCCTCTTCTTGAAAAGTTCCTCTATTGCCAAGACCTGCATATAGAAAATGTGAAAGCACAATGTATCATGCTACTCAACTTTTCTGAAAGTCAATTTTCACTGTTACCAACAGTTTTATTTACGCTGAAGGGAGTAACTTATCTCGTACAAACTAAGTCGATATTTTCATTTTTCAGAAAACTCTAACCTACATAACATCTCCAACCAGCGAAATCAAACTTTATGAATTTAGTAGATGTAATGTAAGGCAAACCTGCTCAACAATTTCATAACTTTTAAGGTTCCTTGAGAACCCTCCCTTGCCAGTGGCACAGAATGAGCAGCGCAATGGGCAGCCCACCTGGAATTAAAAGGAANCAAAATCAAACTTTATGAATTTAGCAGATGTAATGTAAGGCAAACCTGCTCAACAATTTCATAACTTTTAAGGTTCCTTGAGAACCCTCCCATGCCAGTGGCACAGAATGAGCAGCGCAATGGGCAGCCCACCTGGAATTAAAAGGAAAATGGTAAGAAAGGATGTTCTTAAATATATGTTCTAAAAAATTACATCAATGAAAAGGTTTGCAAGTCAAACTCAAAATTAAATCTCCTGAAAACAACCCAGCAAAAGAAATATTGCCTGCTCATTTTTTTATCAGAAGATCACCTGTGATGAGACGCAAGCTGTAAGGCGAACTGCACCTTTATCGTCTTCGACTGGTATGCCAACAGTTTCAACTAGGCGGTTGTCCTCCAGCTTAATCAATAACTGCAAGATCATTTATAAGCAGAAGACAAAAAAATAAAAAAACCAAGAAGCCACCACATTTAATAAAAAGCCCGGATTAAGGATCGGGTCATTCCTTGTAGTTAGTTCGTTGCTTTCAAAATTCTTTCAAAGTAAAACAAGCAACTATATCCATCTGGAAGATTATGGAAAGGAAAGAAATGGAAATTGTGTCCCCTAAATGCCCGCCATGAGGAGGTAAAGTGTGGTTTAACTATTGGCACCACAATCATCACTGCTACTTGTTCCCAACACCACCAGCTCGAGTTCTCTCCACTGATTTGATATGTATCACATCCTCATCTAAACCAAAAGTTGTTCAACAGGAGTCAACTAAATACATAGTAATAATTTCCATATTTGGCATAAAAAAACTGAACCCCTCCCTGGAATTTATAATTATTGCTTCTCCTTTGGAATAATATATGTAAGTCTATTGAACTAAAAATTGACTGGTATATAAAGCAATCAAAATGAGGTCTTCCACTCAGCAGGCACCACCGCAGGTTATTTCAAAATTTCAAATCAATTCGAAGTCCCTCAATATAAACAAACCTTAAACTCCAAAACAAGCCTAAGCGCAACTTTATTGGCATGTGAATCCGTAAATCATTTCATTCAAAAAACTTTCACATCATTGTTTTTTCATAGCATCCAGATGAATTTTTCAGTCTCCTCCCTATTTCATAACGTTGATGCCTAACATAAATACCAACCATTCTATCACTTAACTCACATTTAGGTTATAACTTTTCACATCATATTCATGCAATAAATTTGAGTTCAATTAGAATCACTAAATCATGGAATTCTGTTTACCTTGACAGTGCCATCCGATGCAGTGACGGCCTTATAAACCGCTGACCGCCCTACCCTCCAACCGGCTGCCTGAAGATCATTCCTGAACGCAAGTGGCACTATCCAAGGAAATTTACAAGCACAACTACTAAAACATAAGTTCAACAAACATAATTCCGAACGCTCACAAAGGAAGAGAGAGCACTCACAATGACTAAAATCCTGAATTTCTTTCACCTTTCTCTTGTAAAGTAGATGATGAAGTTGCTTCCCCCTATAACTTTGCTACACAATTTGAATTCCAAAAATAAATTCATTTTTTTCTTTTGCTTTCCTACATTTTCTCAGCATCCAAACAGAAGGTAATTAGTTCAATTCTGTTGAAAATGTTTACCTGGCCGAAGTCGAGTGCGAGTTGTTGAAGCTCTTTCTCGGACATGCCGAGGAGCACGCGAGAATCTACTTGCGACGCCTTCTCGAGAGAAGGGACAGCTACGGTGCTCGAGGCGAGAGTTAGAGAACGAGACCGCATCGCACGTGCGAGGGGCACGAAGCTCACGTGCTGAAGTAGCGCCATTGATGAGGATGTTCGGAGCTCGACACTGGTTTTCTGTGAGAGATAGACGAAGAGAAACCCAAGCGCTTTATCGGGGAGAAAGGCTTAAAAACCTTAGCCGCTGATGAAAAGACGATAATAGCCCTCCAGATATTTGCACTGTAGTAAGAGTTACATAGCAGAACGACGTCGTTCAACACCACAAGATTTCAAAATTTCCTTANTCATCGGGGAGAAAGGCTTAAAAACCTTAGCCGCTGATGAAAAGACGATAATAGCCCTCCAGATATTTTCACTGTAGTAAGAGTTACATAGCAGAACGACGTCGTTCAACACCACAAGATTTCAAAATTTCCTTAAACCTTTCATTTTATAAACGTACGAAACCAGATATAACATGATCAATAAGCAAATCAGAAAAACATGAAGTCAATTAAAAAAAATATACGACACGACTTATTTATAAATCAGTTATACACAATTTATACATAACACAAACTCGATATAATACAATTTGTTACANTATCATTTTATAAACGAACGAAACCCGATATAACATAATCAATAAACAAATCAGAAAAACATGAAGTCAATTAAAAAAAATATACGACACGACTTGTTTATATATCAGTTATACACAATTTATACATAACACAAACTCGATATAATACAATTTGTTACACACGAATCAATAAATGAATAAAATACATCCTAAGTTTCTCGCNGCTTCTCACTCCTCTTAAGAATTGTTGAAATTTTAAACATTACAAATAATTGGCAGGCGAAGTTATGATTTAAAAATTGTCCAACTTTTATTTCATCCTAATTTTTTCTACATTTCAAAATCAATATTGAACAATATATGCNGTTTCTCGCTCCTCTTAAGAATTGTTGAAGTTTTAAACATTACAAATAATTGGCCGGCGAAGTTATGATTTAAAAATTGTCCAATTTTTATTTCATCCTAATTTTTTCTACATTTCAAAATCAATATTGAACAATATATGCTTCAAATCTTGAACTGTAAGTGCTAATTATAGCTATTACATATACACCTCATCCCTCAGTTTATCCTAGTAACAACCAAGTATCTCAAGTGAGAAGCTCCATTCGGATTATTGGCACTAGTTGGATTTCCGTTTCAGCGTATTTTCTAACCCACTTGACAACCAACCTATATAGGGCCAAACATGAGCCTGTATTAGTCCCAATAGCTCTCCGAACCAGTGCGAGTGCATAGGAATCGGAATGAAGCGCAAGTAGGTGGGTTCGGACAGAAGTTAGTGATACCAACACGTCCCTTGATTCAAATCTCCCTTTCTTCTCATATGATCATACTGCATATACAATCAAGTCTATTGATGCCTCAAAGGAAATCTTAATGTTATATAATCAACAAAAGTGCATGACAAGACTGTACACTATCAGTTAAGTGACAAAACAATGGTTTAATACAACTCCAGCTTCTGAAATTCCTAAGACCCTCTTCCTCTATTTTGAAATAGTACACACAAATTGTAATCGTATCAAAATCCTTATGCTCCTTCAAGGTTAAATGGTTGAAGCAGATGGCCGTGGATAGGAAGCAGCCTTGTCGTTGGAAGACTCATCAGCGCGTATCCTTTGATTCATCCGGAGTACCTCACTTTTAGTACTCCCCGTGTCTTTCGAGTCCTGAAGCTGCTCCAATGTTTTTACAACCTCATCCATGTTTGGCCTGTATTTGGGTTCTATTGAAAGACATTTGACTGCAAGGGTAGCTGCTTTGAGTGCTCCAGCCAATGAATATTGGCCTTCAATACGGGCATCCATAACGTAAAGAATTTTGCGTTTACTAGTCAAGTAACGCTTGGCCCATTCGATAAGCTTTTCTTCCCCAGGTGGACGGTTCTTGTCAATTACTCGTCGGCCAGACAGCATTTCAAGAAGAACCACACCAAAACTGTATATGTCGCTTTTGGCAGTTAGATGACCTTCATAAGAACAGAAAATAACTAAGAATTAAGAGGTAGACAATGAGATTTATTCAACCCATAGTGGAAGAAATAACATACTGTAAGACAGCAAGGACCAGGGGTTTATACAGTTCAAACTGGATATTCCCGATTGATGCTAATGCTGGCTAGAAAAATTAAGAGAAAGACGGGGAAAGAGAGAGCTCACGGGCAAGAAAGAGAATGGGAACCTCAACTGGAGATATGTCACATTTTGACACATAACGTTCATGCCGTAGGGGAGTGGTCTTTTGTTACAAATGATAGATCGGACATGGGGTTGGAACAAAATAGAAGTGGGAGTGTAGGTGAAAGTAATAGAAGACTATGTAGGCCAAGCCACAAAAAAATGGAAAATGGAATGGTACAGGAAAGTAGATGGAATGGGTCCAAGATCATTTCTAGGACTTGAACTTTGGCATGTAAAAGTGAATTCGAGCAACTTCAAGAATCTACGAGTACCTGTGGCCATATACTCAGGAGCTGCATAGCCATATGTACCCATAACCCTTGTTGATACATGGCTTTTACCATCTGTTGGTCCATCCTTGGCCAACCCAAAATCAGAAAGCTTTGCATTGTAATTCTGGCACAGTTAAAAGAATAAAATTTATTTTCGGAAATAAATTTTCAAGCTTCTGGAAGCCATAAATTTTGCAAAATTGACCGACAAAAATATAGCATATTGAAATGTTCCACATACAGAATCAAGCAGAATATTGGATGATTTGAAATCACGATATATCACTTTTGCTTCCGGACTGTGAAGATATGCAAGACCCTTTGCAGCCCCAAGAGCAACCTTCATACGGAGACTCCAAGAGAGTGGTTGGAAGTAAGAACTCCCTGTAGCAGAATATTTGGTTGGATTATAAATCACGCAACAAAAAATGGATGCATAGATAGTTTTCCTCCTTTAGGATACGAACAAATGGGAAGCCAAGCTAAGAACTTTAAGGACATCAATAACTCACTTCTGAATAGATGATTTTCCAGGCTGCCCTTGGGCATGAATTCATATACCAGCATTCGGTGTTCATCCTCTAGGCAGTACCCAATCAATTTCACAAGATTAGGATGATATAACTGCCCCAGATAATTAATTTCTGTCTGCAACACAAATTAATGAATCAGCTTGTTTAGAAGTATTGATTGCAATGCCATCAAGCTACAATAACTACCAATATTAGAAATAGTTCATTAATACTAGTATAAATGGTTGGCTAGGTTCATCTAAACTAAAAATATCACTCCCTCCATCTAAACTAATTAATACTAGTATACATGGTTGCATTTTTCCAAGTTTTGCCATGCCTCACTCTATAGTACCAAATAGAAAACATGATCCTACTGTAGTAGGGAAAAGTCATACTTACCAACCATTCCTTGTGACCTTGGAGAGCTTCTTGCTTTAGTCTCTTCACTGCAATAACCATGCCAATACCAGGCCTTGCAGCTTTAAATGTATGCTCGTCAATCCAACCCTTAAAGACACAGCCAAAACCACCTTCTCCCAGCACACTATCTGGACGGAAGTTCCTGGTGGCTACTTTGAGTTCATTAAAGCCAAAGCTCTTCAAATTTGACGATTCCAATATTTCACCCTCTCCCCGAGGGGTCAGTGGCATAGAGGGAGATGAAATCCTGCTACTCGTATCTTGTCCATCTCTGCTGACATGTTTTGAGTTAAGCCCTGTATAGTCATCACAGCCATATTTTGGTTCCGGTCAATTTCTTTACCAGTGTAGGTCACTTTGCCAAAAAAACAAATTTCAAGTTATAAACTCAAATTTCAAATAGTCAAATAACAAATCTATCCCTCCAAACCCCCTTCTTAATAGAGGCTAAATTGGATCATGCTTTTTTTTTGAAAAAAAAAGTAATCAATAACCATCATACAGAATAAAGCAATCCAGTTCATGGGATACATCAGAGTATTGGCTGTTTAGAGAGGGCTGCTGTAGACAGTCCTAAAAGTTGGATCCACGACAGTACATTGCTCGGGCAGCTACATAATTCTTAGCACAAAGATCCTATTTGGCACTATGGATAACTAAATCAAATTGATTTGAATTGCTTTGTCTATGAAACTCCAAGCATATACAGATAAACAAAATTTCATGGAACATTGGATTGCACCCTAAGAAATCCAATCCATTGTTAAAAACAGAAAAACTCAGTTTGTGAGATAGATCCTTGAATTTGTAATAAGAACAATGAGATGCAATCCACTATGCAAATTTACTATTAAAACAACTTCCCCTCTTGATTATTATAAACTCCACTTGATTTCTGAAGAAAAACATAGCCACAAAGGAGATTTGAATTGGCTCTATTATTCAATGCAGCTTAACAGTGAAATTAAGATAAACACCAGATCGTTGGTGTAGGTAAACTAATTATTGGGCAAACAATTAAACGCCTAATCCTAGTACACCAAATGTGCTGGATTTGTACAAACATAGAGATAGAGGTATCCAATATATAAGGGTTTTCCCCAATCTCAGCTAATTCAATACAGTGGAGCACACAAATCAACTGGACTTGCAAAGCTAAAACATTCACTGTTTACCTAGAGAGAGAGAGAGAGAGAGAGAAGTTATGTATACTCCATAACAGTTTTTCACAAATCACCATATGTGTTTTAAGCTAGATTACATGGTTTTATATATCAGAAGTGCACAATCAACATAATATAAGCTTTCCTAGAGATTCATACACACACCAGCGTGAATAGGACTCTCGGCTTTGATTCGAACACTGAAACAAGACCCCATTAATGGACCCACCAAGCTCTGATCTTGTTTTCTTCTTCCCGGGAGAGCTCGAGAAAGAATGACTTCCTTCGAACCCAAAAATAGAAAATTTTCCTTCTATGATTTTTGGTCCAGAAGACACCCAAATCAGATCAAGCACAAAGGTGTGAACACATGCCCAACTGTTCACATATGGTTTATTGATATTTTACGTGTGTTTGGTTGGCTTCCCCATAACTCTTTAAGGACACAACGGTTGACTATCTCCCTAGATTATCGTCACCCGTATATATATAGGGGAATATACACAGAGAGAGAGAGAGAGAGAGAGAGAGGGAGAGAGAAGACTATTCCAGATGGCGGGAGATGTCCAGCTAGTCTTATACTTGTCGTAGGACATATTGTTCAACTCTCTCACATACAGCAGACAGAGCTGCATTGATTGAGCCATTTTGGGCCACGTTAGTAATGGCTTCATTATGATTGTAGTTCAAAGCTCCTAAGCGCATGGTTACTAATTTCTGGCTTCCTCTCAGTAAAATAAAATAAAAGAAAAAGAAAAAAACAAATAGTTAGGGTTAATAATATTTTAGGCTCTTAAAATATGTCTATTTTGTTAATTTTTTTATTGTATTAATTTAGTCCTTAAAATTTTAATTTGTGTTACTTTAACCCTAATTATACCATCCATTAAGTTTTTTTTTTTTTATAGAACTGACAACGTGTAATTTTTTTAGATGCTAGCACGTGACCAATACGTGATCATTCTATCAAACACTTAACAGTCTGTTTATGTAATAATTTTTTAAATACGAATTAAATATTTTAGAAGCAAAATTAATACTATACGGATCAAATTAACAAAGCGTACATACTTTAAGGACCAAAACCTAATACTTAAGACACCTTGATCGGACCAAAAACCTCTAACTGCTTGGACTAAAAATTGAGTATTAATGTGAGAAGTGGAACTAAAAAAACTTTTGACAGGCATGTTATTTAGATTTAAAAATTTAACATAATTTGTTAATCTAATGATATATGTTTCATTGACACTATTGAATTAACATCAAATTTTAATGTTTAATAGAACTCACAGTTAATCCAGTGGTTGTAATGATTTAAGTCTGTATATATCAATAAATTAGGTCAAAATAATTTTATTTAAAATTAAATGTAATATTCAATATAGTCTCTCTAACAAATCCCAGAGAAACTCCTAACCTGAAATTATTGACGTAATATAATTGTTATATTAGATATTTAGGAGGATGAAATAGGTTTAAGAAATCGCTTGTTTTAAATGGTGAATCCTCCGTCACAAAAGATTAGCCCCAATATTCAAATCGAAGCTTCCACAATAGCATTGATGAAAAATGTAGGTAAGACAAGTCTCTCTCATTGGCGGAGGAGGGGGAATAAACAATGAATAATATTATTTAAACTTAAAATATTAACTTGATTAATTATTATCATTGATTTAATTGTAGATCCCTGCATTTATTGAAATTCACTACCTATTTAATGATTAAAATTATCAAATCTAATCTTTAAGTTCATCTAACATTACTCTGAGATCAATAAACAAGAGAGTGAATTGGATCTAGGATTCTAACCATTTAATCCAGTGTTTAACTAAACACATGATTAGATTAAACTATTTTAAATCGAAGTAACTTAAAAAAACAATATAGGTTGGGTTAGAATACGTAGTCTAATCTCGTCCCATCAACTCCAACAATTCAAATTTGTATTGCATATTCAAGTCTAATTTTATTTTAAAAAAAATTTANACCAATACGTGATCATTCTATCAAACACTTAACAGTCTGTTTATGTAATAATTTTTTAAATACGAATTAAATATTTTAGAAGCAAAATTAATACTATACGGATCAAATTAACAAAGCGTACATACTTTAAGGACCAAAACCTAATACTTAAGACACCTTGATCGGACCAAAAACCTCTAACTGCTTGGACTAAAAATTGAGTATTAATGTGAGAAGTGGAACTAAAAAAACTTTTGACAGGCATGTTATTTAGATTTAAAAATTTAACATAATTTGTTAATCTAATGATATATGTTTCATTGACACTATTGAATTAACATCAAATTTTAATGTTTAATAGAACTCACAGTTAATCCAGTGGTTGTAATGATTTAAGTCTGTATATATCAATAAATTAGGTCAAAATAATTTTATTTAAAATTAAATGTAATATTCAATATAGTCTCTCTAACAAATCCCAGAGAAACTCCTAACCTGAAATTATTGACGTAATATAATTGTTATATTAGATATTTAGGAGGATGAAATAGGTTTAAGAAATCGCTTGTTTTAAATGGTGAATCCTCCGTCACAAAAGATTAGCCCCAATATTCAAATCGAAGCTTCCACAATAGCATTGATGAAAAATGTAGGTAAGACAAGTCTCTCTCATTGGCGGAGGAGGGGGAATAAAAAATGAATAATATTATTTAAAATTAAAATATTAACTTGATTAATTATTATCATTGATTTAATTGTAGATCCCTGCATTTATTGGAATCCACTACCTATTTAATGATTAAAATTATCAAATCTAATCTTTAAGTTCATCTAACATTACTCTGAGATCAATAAACAAGAGAGTGAATTGGATCTAGGATTCTAACCATTTAATCCAGTGTTTAACTAAACACATGATTAGATTAAACTATTTTAAATCGAAGTAACTTAAAAAAACAATATAGGTTGGGTTAGAATACGTAGTCTAATCTCGTCCCATCAACTCCAACAATTCATATTTGTATTGCATATTCAAGTCTAATTTTATTTTAAAAAAAATTTAAATATAAATCATGAAAATAAAATTCATCGAATTTTAAACTTCAAATAGTACTCAAATCGAAATTCGATTGGTTAATAAAGTGTCCAACATGCTTTGGCCATGGGGTGGAATTTATTGTCCAAAGTGCCAAACTAGACAACGAAAGATTCGTGACAATGTGACTTTTCTATCCAAATCTAGCAAGACTTTGAAAATTAAAACAAAGACTTTTAATGCTTTTCTACCTTTTTGTTTGGTTCTAGAACTTGACTCTTATTGTTCCAACTCCTACTTGACGCTGCGTGGCCAAGCATTTTTATTTGCCAAATATATCAAAATTTGTTAAATTTTTATTTATCTTTAATTATTATAAAATTAATGATATTTACATATTATTTTCATCTAATTTTTATTTCCCATACTTATTAAACTTTTAAATTTTTTTGGATTTTTTTATTAATAGTATTTAACTTTTTAACCCTTTTAGACTCATTTATTTATAGTACACTTAGATACAATTTTCTATATCTAGATCTATCTTTATATGAACAAATAAAGTTAAATTTATATTTTTATTATATGTACAAATACTTAATAATGACAATCTTACAATGAAGTTTCGTCGTAAACAAAAAAGAGAATGACTAATGAATTGGGGAGATAATTAAACAAATAATATATTAGAAATTGAAGAGGGAAAAAATAGATCAATAATTAGATTAAAAAATAATTAAAATAAAAAATAATTATTTGACACATAATTTAACTACATATATGATTTAAATTTTCCCTTCATTCTCCCTTCTAACACTCCTAGTATAAGTTGTAGGAAAAGAGAGTCCGTCTGTATCCTGATTCCTTCTCTAAGATGGGGAAGCTTCCTAGAGAGTGAAGCATTTACCCTTAGCTACATGTAGTACTATAATCTTTCCTGATCCCTTTTCTAAGATAGGGAAGCTTCCTAGAGAGCGAAGCATTTGCCCTAGCTAGATATAATAGTATCCTCTTTGGTATGATTGTCCTCTATTTTTCGGTTTTCATCCTCGTCTAGTGAATCCCACAGGACTTTAATGAGGTCCCATGGTTCGGGCAAACCATAACATGCGGGGTTCATTTTGCAACTGTGTTGAGCCAAACTAATTATTCTAAAGATTGGTTGATCCCAATTGCTCGATTAGAATTGCACAATTAAGAAAGACAACAAATCTTGATCGCACAAGTCATATCTATATTAGTCTATTAGGCTTCACACTTTAAAGTTCGAGCCAATCTAGGACAATTTAAGTGTGTTGATGCGGATTCAGATTTCCTCCATTATTCTTTTTCTTCAATTCCTCTCAATACAGTACTAGATGAGTGACATGTGCAAGATTTAGAATTTTAATAGACAAGAATTTTTCCTTGTAAGAAAATTCTTTAATAATGATTAACACTCTAACAACAACAAAATGAATGATGAAATATCTTATTTATTAAAATTTAAAATCTTACACATGTCAAACTATATTGAAGGGAAGGGATAATGGATGGAATCTAAATCCATAAAAATTGTGCAAAAGCAAAGCTTGACTAGACCCCTGCAACTCATCAATCTTTTTTGTCCATTGAAAATGGTATAGGAGGGAACAACCAGTCATGACGACTCAACCTTGACTTGACCATATGATGATAGGAGCCTCAATCTGCCAAGGAATCAATGACAAAAGGACCGAAACTGGAGAACCACGGTTACTCCCCCCCAAGTCGACCAGAGGTTTGACGACTGAGGTCGTGAGAGCAGGTCATGGGAACTGGGCTCGATCAATCGTGGTCAGAAGATGTTTGTGAGTGGTGTGAGAGTTGTATCAGAACTATCAGATCAGACGCTCGTGTAATGCGGGGTGTTATAAGTGACATGCATGGGGAACCGGGGTGTTACCGGAGGGAAAGTAATGCCAGTGCAATAATAGATCTATCACCAGACAGGAAAGTTAACTATAAGTAATGTAGCCAAACGACTTGTGCTCTCTTTCTTGAGTTTGCGCCATACATACTTCCACCGAAGTAGCACTAAAATTCATCAAATTCATAGGCGGTTCCGTTTGGGGGAAGTTTATGAAGAAAGGCCCAGCTACTGAATGATGTGGTATGTGTTTTGCCAATCCACCAAGCTCAACATAGCCCAGATTGTTAGCCGCTATTCGTTGGCAGTGGTTCAGTAACAAGAGTAGTTCATAACCTTCTGCACGCCGTACATTACACAGCATTCGCCTCTTCAAACACATTCAACAACTGAAGTGGCGCTTGGAAAAACAAACACCTGAGCGGAAAAAAGACAGATTGCAATCTCACAGATTGCAATCTCACTTTCCATATGAAAAGCTATTTCTATAACTCGACCCNTACATGTAGTACTATAATCTTTCCTGATCCCTTTTCTAAGATAGGGAAGCTTCCTAGAGAGCGAAGCATTTGCCCTAGCTAGATATAATAGTATCCTCTTTGGTATGATTGTCCTCTATTTTTCGGTTTTCATCCTCGTCTAGTGAATCCCACAGGACTTTAATGAGGTCCCATGGTTCGGGCAAACCATAACATGCGGGGTTCATTTTGCAACTGTGTTGAGCCAAACTAATTATTCTAAAGATTGGTTGATCCCAATTGCTCGATTAGAATTGCACAATTAAGAAAGACAACAAATCTTGATCGCACAAGTCATATCTATATTAGTCTATTAGGCTTCACACTTTAAAGTTCGAGCCAATCTAGGACAATTTAAGTGTGTTGATGCGGATTCAGATTTCCTCCATTATTCTTTTTCTTCAATTCCTCTCAATACAGTACTAGATGAGTGACATGTGCAAGATTTAGAATTTTAATAGACAAGAATTTTTCCTTGTAAGAAAATTCTTTAATAATGATTAACACTCTAACAACAACAAAATGAATGATGAAATATCTTATTTATTAAAATTTAAAATCTTACACATGTCAAACTATATTGAAGGGAAGGGATAATGGATGGAATCTAAATCCATAAAAATTGTGCAAAAGCAAAGCTTGACTAGACCCCTGCAACTCATCAATCTTTTTTGTCCATTGAAAATGGTATAGGAGGGAACAACCAGTCATGACGACTCAACCTTGACTTGACCATATGATGATAGGAGCCTCAATCTGCCAAGGAATCAATGACAAAAGGACCGAAACTGGAGAACCACGGTTACTCCCCCCCAAGTCGACCAGAGGTTTGACGACTGAGGTCGTGAGAGCAGGTCATGGGAACTGGGCACGATCAATCGTGGTCAGAAGATGTTTGTGAGTGGTGTGAGAGTTGTATCAGAACTATCAGATCAGACGCTCGTGTAATGCGGGGTGTTATAAGTGACATGCATGGGGAACCGGGGTGTTACCGGAGGGAAAGTAATGCCAGTGCAATAATAGATCTATCACCAGACAGGAAAGTTAACTATAAGTAATGTAGCCAAACGACTTGTGCTCTCTTTCTTGAGTTTGCGCCATACATACTTCCACCGAAGTAGCACTAAAATTCATCAAATTCATAGGCGGTTCCGTTTGGGGGAAGTTTATGAAGAAAGGCCCAGCTACTGAATGATGTGGTATGTGTTTTGCCAATCCACCAAGCTCAACATAGCCCAGATTGTTAGCCGCTATTCGTTGGCAGTGGTTCAGTAACAAGAGTAGTTCATAACCTTCTGCACGCCGTACATTACACAGCATTCGCCTCTTCAAACACATTCAACAACTGAAGTGGCGCTTGGAAAAACAAACACCTGAGCGGAAAAAAGACAGATTGCAATCTCACAGATTGCAATCTCACTTTCCATATGAAAAGCTATTTCTATAACTCGACCCGTAACGCCAATGACGCACCAAGACCTACCTCACATCAATGATTTTTCCTCTCACAAGTCATATGAATTCAACCAAAATCCATGCCTACAAAGACACATTTCAAGCTCCCAATAAGAAAAATATGTCGATGGCAGTACATTGGAGAACAATGTGCCAGATTTATTCACACAAGAAAGCCAATTAGAAGTGTGGCCAAGAGTACAGTGTAAAAATTAAGTCCACGGTATAGCTTATGTATGAAATGGAAATTACATTCTACCCTGGCAAAAACCTCAAAGTTTCACCTACCCGAGATTGGTACAAAACCTAGGCATTTTTCTTCACCTCAGCAGACTTGATAATGTCAATGAATTCAGGCTAGAGAGAGGAAAAGAAAAGAGAGTAAGAACAAGACGACAATCCAAGAAGAAGAAAAATAAAGAGACCATGGTATTACCTTGAGAGAAGCTCCACCAACCAGAAAACCATCGACATCAGGTTTTGCAGCCAATTCCTTGCAGTTGGCACCACTTACAGAACCTGCAACAGTTATGCATTTAGAGCAATGGAAGAAAATGCAAAGGGGAAAGGGTAATTTTATATTTCAATTATTATTTGATTTATGGTGTTAGAACCACAATTTTGATAAAATAAGGTTCATTCTAAAAACAAAAGCATTATGTCATGATTCATATGCATTAAAAAACAAGTCAAACCAAGGCATCCTGCATTTTTACACTCTAGGCCAAAACCCCAGGTTCACTTTGGCAATTTATTCTTAATCTCCTGCTATCCTGCAAACCTCCACCTAAGGGCATCTTCAATCCTAACCCTTTTTTAAACCCAAATTTAAATTTGGGTAAAAAAACTCCTAAAATTTTTTTTCAATGCTAGACCCATGCCCATATCAAATCAATGGAGGCTCTTTTTTGTTACTCAAATCAAGAGAAACTCAAATCCATACCCAAATCTTTAATAGTGAGATTGTACCCTCATTTAAAAATCTNTTGTTACTCAAATCAAGAGAAACTCAAATCCATACCCAAATCTTTAATAGTGAGATTGTACCCTCATTTAAAAATCTAATGGACATATTTTATCCTCTTTTAAATTTGGGTTTGTCCACATTTAAATTCGGGTTTCTCTTCCTTTATATTTGAGTTTCTCCATTGGAGAGATATATACCAAATCAAACTTTTTACTCTTTTTTTTACTCAAATTTAAGGATATGGGTCACCATTGGAGTGGTCTAAGTATTCTCAAACATAATGTTGAATTTTGAAGAAATCTAGGGCACCTGAATGCAAAGAAAAATTACAAATGTCATTTGTTTTCTGTTACCATTTTGTATGACTTCATAAATGGAGGCATGNGATGGTCTAAGTATTCTCAAACATAATGTTGAATTTTGAAGAAATCTAGGGCACCTGAATGCAAAGAAAAATGACAAATGTCATTTGTTTTCTGTTACCATTTTGTATGACTTCATAAATGGAGGCATGTGACTGGTTCCTTGTTTGAAAAACCCATTAATAAGGATAAAACTAAATACATCTATATATCCTACAGTGTCAGTGGTGGTGACAATGACATACAATGGCAGAGAAAAACTGGTAAAACATATAGCTATTGAATGCAAGCTACACAAGACATCATGGTGACAGAATATTCTTGTGTCTATAATTCTTAAACACTAAGAAGCCATTTAAGGCTCATATTGGAACACTATTCTNCTGGTAAAACATATAGCTATTGAATGCAAGCTACACAAGACATCATGGTGACAGAATATTCTTGTTTCTATAATTCTTAAACACTAAGAAGCCATTTAAGGCTCATATTGGAACACTATTCTTTTGGCAAAAAGGAGCTCAAATTCAAAAAATTCAAAAGACTAGAACAGCAGTATCTCGGGGGATAGAGAAAAAATACCTCCATAGATAATCCTGATTGTAGCAGCAACTTCAGGGCTGGTGTTCACTTGAAGCCATTTCCTTAATTCAGAATGTACCTGCGATGAAGAAGATACTTCATGAAAAAAGATTGGATCCTGGAAAACTTGCAGCAAGTTGATGCTACAGCATCTCTTCCCCATAAGTACTAAAAATTAGTTCCAATGGTACAACCATAGAACTAAAAGGCCATACTTAATGCACCAGACTTCCACTTATAGTGGGATCTAGGAGATGTAAGTGGTAGGCCCACCTTTACAATGGTGACAAAACTCCACACAACTAATGGGAGGGAGATGGACCATAAAAGAGGGTAGTTACAATGGTACAATAAGAGAACTCACACACACAAAGGGGATAGATCACAAAATAGGGTAACTGAATGATATGGGAGTCAATGAGCATTCCAAAGCATGAACCGCAACAATTGTGGGCTTTGGGTGGAGTGGGGGAGGCGCTGCCATTTATTAGCCAATAAGTACTTTACGCTAGATCAGATTGTGGAAAAAATCTTTAGAGTTCAGACAGCCAATCTTTCTAATTATTTTGGAGACAAGCAACTTGAATAGCCTCCATGATGAACAAAAGATTTAATTCAAGGAATACATCAAAATCCTAACTGTAACATACAAATCCTCTTCCTCCATAAGGCACATCCCAGAGAACTCGATGCATATATTTTTCTCAGCGGGTAGGCACCAATCATTTTATGCTTCAAAAAAATATCATTCACACAATTGTTCAACCAAAATGAATAAATAGATGATTAAGTAACTCATAGACCTAAATCATAATCTTCACATATAGTTTTCAGGCCCATGAAGGCTTCTGTCTGCGCGCTCTCACCAACCTTCCCTAGCTTCAACAATGTTACTATTAGAGACAGGCTAACTCTGGACCATATAGCTCAATCTGGTCCATCAATGCAGCCCTTTTTCCTCGTCCCACTGTCACTGTAGAGCATAGAGAATAGCAGCACTGTTGCCGGGTCCAGTATCAGCTGGCAGACTAGAAGCCAATTCAAAGAGCCTCGAATTGCTCCAAAATTAAAACATATTTTCCTATCCATCTTCAAGTTTTAGTAACTACAAAATCTGACACCACCAGACATATAGCAGATTGAAATTGAAAACATAGCACTTTTAGACTCTAAGTCCTTTTGTATTGGATGTCACTGGTCTCATTCTCATTCTCATTCTGCATTAATAATTGTTGTGGAAATTTTAGAACATATAACCACTTCTGCATTAAAAAATCCAATTTAGGCCGGATTCTTGCAAGCACCAAACTTTATCCTATCAGGCTTTCACCCTAGTAGCAAGTCAAGCTACATAAAACACAGGTTACACTTAATTTCAATGCGCACAAAAAATTGCTAAAAATCATCCCTTATAAGGTCTCTACCAATTTAGAAGAGAACAAAATATAAGATATTTGGAGCTATAATGTGTAAACTTTGATTCAAGAATACGAAGAAAAGAGGGAAATTGTATTATTGTAACTTTAGTCTGCAAAACCAAAAAACCAAAGCTATACAATAAAGACCCTTATATAGTAAGATAAAACAAAATAAAATAAATCACTAAACTACCCTTAGTCTAAATATACTATAATACTCTAACATCCCCTCTCAAACTCATGATGTGGCAAAAAACATCAAGAGTTTGTCAATAAGAAAACAAAAGCGTGCGATGGTGTGAGATTTCGTAAAGAAAACCGGTAACGGCATAGTGGAAGGAATAAAGGGTAGGGTAATGGTGCCCAGATGATGGCGTACAAAGAGACAATCAATCTCAATATGCTTTGTATGCTCATAGAAGACCGACTTGTGAGCAATCTGAATAGCCCTGGTGTTGTCACAATACATAAGGGTAGGAGCAGACAGTGAAATGCAAAGATCAACAAGTAGCTATCGTAACGAGACTATCTCAACACGGTACTCAGCTTCAGCTGATAAACTAACAACGACATTCTGTTTTTTGCTTTTCCGAGAAATAAGAGAATCACAAGGAAAATACAGAAACCAGTGGTGGACTTACAATTCATAGAGTCACCAGCCCATACTCCAGAGCAAATCCTTGGCTACTAACCGAACTTTGTAAAGTTCCACAGATCCATCAGATTTGGTTTTGATCTTATAAACTCACTTAAAACCAATGGTGTGTTTGCTAGGGGGTAAAGACACTAACTCCCAAGCTGGTTTTGATCTTATAAAGACACTAACTTGCATCCACCACAATCAAAAATGCCATGATGCTCAAAATTACCCAAACTACCCAAACTTTGATTCAAGAAAAGGAAAGAAAAGAGAAAATGTATTATCGTAACATTAGTCCGCAAAACCAAAAATCCAAAGCTACACAATAAAGACCCTTATATAGTAGGGTAAAACAGAATAAAGTAAATCACTAAACTACCCTTAGTCTAAATATAATATAATACACTAACATAATATAGTCTATAACTAGCCTTAAACATCATTAATCCAGATCAAGACAATGAAGTGGCCACTTACTTCCTGAGCCTGAGCGGGAGTTGCAACCTTCCCAGTTCCAATAGCCCAAACAGGCTCATAGGCCAAAACCACATTAGACCAATCTGATACTCTTTCTGCAACATGTAAAAATGAAAACATTATTAAAGCAGGTTGACAGCTTCACTTGTAGCATGGACTAAAATAAGCTTTCAGTAATCTTGTTAAACAAAAAAAATCCGGTAAAATAAGCTCCTCAGCATATCCAATAAAATGAATGAAACAAATTTTAACCCCTACATGACAGCCATATTCTTTAGTTTTAAGATATCCACTTCATAGTCACTAACAAAAGTTATTTACCTGAAAAATCTAGTAACACAAGCAATAAGTTGCCACCAAGTATATCCAGAAGAAAACAAACTCAATGATGGTGTGAAAAAACAAAGACTAATCATTTGAGTGAAGAGTAAAGCCAACCACAAGAACATAGTTGAGTGCAATAGTTGTGTTGCATACACTACTGGAATATGTACCTGCGATTGCCTTAGTTTGTGCGGCAACAACATCCATAGTCGATCCTGATTCTCTCTGCTCAAGAGTCTCACCAACACAAGCTATTACCTTCAAACCTTGAGCAAGAGCATATGCAACTTTATCTCCAACAAACTGAAATGCAAGCATTTAGCTAGTTACCAAATTAATGAAGACAGGATCAACGGCTGTGAAGCATGATCAGTGTTCCAATTGGCATCATAAAGAAATAGCTACGGTGCCATGAAACAAAGATTACCTCATTTGATTCCCCTAAAATAAGCCTCCTTTCAGAATGGCCAAGAATGACCCAAGGAATGCCCAGATTAACGAGCATCTCAGCACTGCACATGCAGAAGATATTAATGTACATTTTTGGCGGTGGAAATTTTTAAACCTCAGGAGATAGGTACAGGACTGAAATGGGTATCAAAACATACCTAACCTCACCAGTAAAAGCACCACCTTTCTTTACCCAGCAATTTTGGGCCGCAACATGAAAATCAGGCCTCAACAAACTTTTCACCAGTTGAAGAAACACGAATGGAGGGCTCACCACGACCTCTGCAAGAGAAGAAGTCAAAATATAAGCGACATGAAGATTTGATTCAAAAGAACAAAGTTCACTGCCATAGGAAAGCAAGAGAAAAACTGCAATAAGGACAAGAAGCGGTCAAAACATAAACAATCCGGTGATTTCATCCGTATGAATGGATATTCGTTTTTGCAAATAAGGAAGAAAGGAACTCCAATAGCACTTCATGCAAAGCAAACCACATGTTGTCCACGGAAATTAATTATAGAGAAATCAATGTAAGCAAACACGAGAGTTATATCCGTACTCCTTATTTAGCCTCCAAAGCTTGTAAGCAGTGCAAAAGGACTGCAGAAGGCAAATATTATTCACATTATTTATGGTAACTTTATAATTTCAAATTTTAAAATGTCAGTATTGCATTCTTCTGCTGGCCAATAATTTTTCCGGGCAGGTTCAGATAGATTCAGCACAAGACACATAAGTAGAGCTAATCTCATAAAAGAACATAAAACAAAGTTGTCGAACACGTAACATAAACGTCAAATTGTGATGTATACCTTAGCCAAAAATGCCTTTTTTGAAAAATGGAAAACGTCTTTTACGCAAATGGTGTGGGAGACAACATTAGTCAAATAATTAGTGAACCTCCGAGAGATATTTCTATAATGTTTCTCTTTTATTATTTCCCATCTATCTATTTCCTTTAGTTATTCACTAGAGCAATTATGATCTAGAAGTCGATCCTAGCCAAGTGTTCGGATCTATTATGACACGGGTATTAAAAAAAAAAACTCATAAATTACAGATTATGATTCTTTTTTTTACAACTTGATTGACTGGAACAGCGATCTCAAGCAATGCTCAATCAACTAATACGCTTTGTCTGTCGTCTCCCTTAGGACGTACCCTAGGAAAGAACAACAAGAGTCACCTCCCCCGAGAACAACTCGAAAGCAACAAGCTTCATATGTTAATGAAAAAAACTAAATCAGATCAAAACTAACTTGGATTTCCTTACCCACAACATCCTGAGATGGCACTTCACCAGCATTGAGTGTCGACACGATCTTCTTCACCTCTTCCGAGGTTCCATTCTGCATAAAAGCTTTCCAGTTAAGCTATAAACTAGACTACACCTTGTAGACATACCTCACACGTTTATACAAGTCCATGAATCAATCTCGATACTGACAGGGTACTCACAGATACGATTTCACACAACATAGCAGCTAAATATACACATTATTTCAATTGAATTGACTCAAAAGTAATTAATTACACCAATTAATTGATTCTCGAACTGTTATGCACCTCAGCAATTATCTAGATCCATCTAAACAAACAACAATGGTCAGTTCGGTTAATTAGAAAATAGTATAACAGCGACAGAGAAAATAACAACAATGGTCCGAACGATGAGCATCAGAACGACAGACGTAAATATAGGTGTGTGAGTGATTTTTTGAAATCTCAAGAAAGAGAGAATTTCAATAACCAGATCTAAACGGATCAGATGATCAGAAATTATTGAGGCAAATTAATTTGAATCAAAGACTTACGCATTTCCAGTTGCCGCCGACGAAAAATTTTCTGCCCATTTCCGACGATGATCAACGAGTACTGCACACCACTTGAAGCGTTTTTGTGGTTCGATATGTTTTGCTTTTGGTGAATGAAGATTTATCCAGACTACTATTTGCGGATCACACTGTTACAGTTGAAATGTCTTAATTACCCTCGGTCTTCTTGCTCATGGAATATTCTTTTTTAAGTCCTGGCCCTGTGATTTTTCCCTCTCCTGCAAGACTTTATGGGACATTTTGGCGGAAGAAAATAATAATGAAAAGTGAAACAAGAGTCTGACCAAAAAAAAAAGTGAAACAAGAGTCTGACCCAAAAAAAAAGTGAAACAAGAGAATATAAAATACATGTATTTTGTTAATATGAAAAGCTTGTAAAAAAGATTTATAAAATTTTTATTTTATTGTTTGAAAGACATAAAAGTTATGATAATGTTTTTAATTGTTTAAATTATTCTTAATTATATTAAATTGGTGTCAACAAAAAAATATGTATTATAATAAAATTTTAAAAAATGAGATCCTAACTTAATTTTAGGACAAAGATCGACCTGATCCCAGATCTATGGGTGAAATTATATGGCCCTGACTCATATAAATTTTTTTCAAAATTAATAACTTATTAAATATTTTAAGAAAAATAAGGATAAAATAGAATTAGATTATAGATCACAATTTACTTGTTTTTCCTTATGTTTTTTGCAAGAAAAAAAAATTTAGTTAGTTGTGAAAAATCTAAGTATAGAAGAAAATCATGTTTTTCTATCATTTTTCATTTCTTGTTCAAAAAAATATTTATTTTTCATATTATGCTAACCAAATATATGAAAATGTTAAAAATTTTATTTTTCTTGCATTTGTTTCAATTGTCCCGCTAATAGACGGAGCGGCTGCAAAATATTGAATGCTCATCAAGCACCACATAATAGTGTCGTTCCTTGTCATATACATTATTCATAAAATAGTATACATTCTCAATCAATTATTGTCACTTATAAAGGTAATAGGATTTTTTTTTATTTTTAAAAATGTGTCGCAAAGGCAGTATTATGACAATTTTTCATTGGATATGAGCACCACAAAGTAGTGTCACATGGTGCCCTAAAAACACTGAATATTTTGTCATGTTACAATACTTTATTCTTCTTTTTTTTCAAAGTAATTACGATACTAAAATATCATATTTTTGTACTATACTTTCTTTTTTTATTCAATTACATAATATATAAAAAAATTCTATAAATTTATTATTTTTAAAATTATTAATTACAAATCGTTCATCTCAAAATCAATAATGATTGAGAATAAATTTCAATATAGTACTGAATTAGCCTTTATCTCACTTAGATACCCAAGTTTAAGGGGGGAAATACGAGTTTTAATTTAATTTGATCGATTTATGAGTGTGAATGGTTAGGAATACTTTTTTGAATCACATTAAAACTCAATATTATAAAAGAAATTTCTTATATTTAAAATTATTTATGCGTATCAATTAAGCCCATATACTAGTAGTTCAAGCTAGAAGAGGAATTTTCCTCCCTTAGAGTTAGTAAACCCCCAGATTTTCTTATGAATGAACTTAGGAAGGAGGGAATGAATGGTATAGTTTGACAAATATATTCTGTAACAACGTGTTGGAGTATTAATATACAAGTTAATTTCATGACCAACAAAAAACAAAGGGGGGAAATAGTACCAGAAATGTGATGCAAGTGTTGGAATATTCTGTGTGATGGAAGAGTGAGGGGTAAATTAGTAAATGCAGGTGAAAGCTCACGGTTTTGATTGTTTCTTGTGCAGCAATCATCGGCGACACATAAAGTGAGTGGTGATTATCGGATTGGGTTGAGCGGCCCCCCCAAAAAAAAAAAAAAAAAGTTTGTGACAGGTGGAAGAAATAAATTCAAAGGAATTTGTATTTATATAATAAAGTATAATATAATTTTTTTTTTTCGCAATTCACATCATTATAAATTTTATTTTAAAATTAATTCGACAACTAATGTTAATTCCTTAAATTTAATAAAATAAATAAATTTTTATGACACGTTTGGGGTGATTTTTTAAAAATACTTCAAAAACTTATGACCTCTAATAAGCATTTTAAAAAAAAAAGATAGTGATTAGAACAACTTATTTTAATTACTTTCAAGTCAAAAAAAAAACTTTACCACTTAAATAAGTTAGTAAAAATAAAAAAAATAACTTCTACTTTTTTAAAATTACTTATCTACAAAAAACTTCACCACCTCTATAGCCATCACCACTGTTATTGCCAACCAACCACCACTGGCACCACCCCGGCCAGCCTTAGGATTAGGCCACTAAATAATTTTCAGCCCAAATTTTTAGACCAGTTTTTCTTCAATTAAACATGAGCCCAAATTTTTTTTTCAGCCCAAGTTTTCAGACCAATTTTTTTTGGGGATAAATTGTAAGGGAGTACACCAAATTAGACTTATTTGGCAAAAAATACACACTAAAAAATATATGGTTATTAAGTACTTAATTTTGATACTTATTTATATCCAAATACATAATTTAAATTTATCTATTTTTATTGTGACATTTTTGCCCTCCATTGGTGAATGCGTATTTTTTTATTGAAAAGGGTTAGTTTTCAAATTATATTTGTGTATTAAATAAGTCTTAGTTTTATGAGAGAGAAATACAACACTTTCCAATAAAATTTCAAATTTTAAATACACTATTATTTTTAGTTTTTTAAGAGGGAAATATACGGTTGTATTTTTCTTCATGAAGCTGGGTATATTTCTGGTATTATTATTGATTGAAAACGAGTTTCCTTCATCACCTGAAAGACGATTTTGCTGCTTCTTCAAGCCTTGAGGTGAGTTNAATCGATTTTCCTTCATCACCTGAAAGACGATTTTGCTGCTTCTTCAAGCCTTGAGGTGAGTTATGCTTCTTCTCCATCCAGCTGCAATCTGATATTGGTCTTCATCGACATCGACATGACATTGGTATATATGTAAGGGGGAAGTCGAGAAATACACACTTCAAGACTGAAGTTGATTTTCTTCATCACCTGCAAGTTGATTTTATTCTTCAAGCTTTTAATTTTTATCTTCTTCTACTTCCATTTGCAAGCCCATATTGTTCTTCATCCACATGACAAATGTGTTTGTGGAAGATATAACAAAACAAACAAACATATGTGTTTGAGATTTTGTTCCAACCGAATACTGAAACATTTAACCTGACAGTATCATAACAGGAATTACAAGGTATGTTACATTTAACCTATTAACATAATAAATTAATATGTATAATTTTTTCAGTTTTTATTTGTTTTGNAACCTGACAGTATCATAACAGGAATTACAAGGTATGTTACATTTAACCTATTAACATAATAAATTANAGCCTGACAGTATCATAATAGGAATTACAAGGTATGTTACATTTAACCTATTAACATAATAAATTAATATGTATAAATTTTTTCAGTTTTTATTTGTTTTGATATATGTTTTTAATTTGACTTTTTATTGTATATATTCTTTTACTAGTTTGAGATTTTGTTGGCAATAGAGAAAACGGTGTTGGTGTTGCTGTTATGTACATATGGTAATGATACTAAAGTGTTCAAAGTACGCGGTAATTCAAATANTAATTTGACTTTTTATTGTATATATTTTTTTACTAGTTTGAGATTTTGTTGGCAATAGAGAAAACGGTGTTGCTGTTATGTACATATGGTAATGATACTAAAGTGTTCAAAGTACGCGGTAATTCAAATATATCGGAGCTTGTTCGCGAAGTTTGCGAGACGTGTGAGGAGTTGTTTAACTTGTCAGTACATATGTCATATTTAATTCTTGGTCACCCCTCCTGCATGTTACGAACCGATGCGGATTTGAAGAATTTGGTTGAATTGAAACGTTGTTTGCCAAGGAATTACGTTCAAGTTAATGTGTTTGTGGAAGATATCGAGGGCGGGTCGGTGGGTGATGATGATTCGTTGCAGTATGTGAATATTGGTGATGTTGTTGAATGTAAAATGGATTTACTACCCAGTTTTATTGGTCACAATGAGAAAGTTCTTCAAACAGCTGGGTAGAGTAATGAAATACAGCGAGTAGGACAGAAATTTGAAGGTGGTGTAGTACAGTTTCGACAAGCACTTTNTTGATTTAATACCCAGTTTTATTGGTCATAATGAGAAAGTTCTTCAAACAGCTGGGTAGAGTAATGAAATACAACGAGTAGGACAAAAATTTGAAGGTGGTGTAGTACAGTTTTGACAAACACTTTGCAAATACTCGATTGAGTGTGATTTTGAATTTAATTATGTAAAGAATTGTAAAGCAATGGTTATTACTGAATGTTCATTTAAGTATTTTAAGGGTTGTGGGTGGCATATAAATGCAACTGTGAAAAGAGCTACTGGTTTTTTTTATATTAGAAAATTGGACAACAAACACATTTGTGGTGTGGATGTACGAACGACAGATAACAAGCGAATGAGTTCTAAATTGGTTGCAAATCTGATTGTTGATCGTGTTCATGGGCATAGGACAACACGTCCAACAGAAGTGGTTGTTGATTTTTTTTTTTTTTTTCTGATTATGGACTCACCATTTCTTATGATAAAGCATGAGAAGGCGTTGAGAAAGCAAAAGATATACTTTTTGGAGACCATTCAGTATCGTACCAACAATTACGTTGGTATGTCGATGCAGCAAATTGTGTTAGATTGTGATCATGAGACTAATCGTTTCAAAAAGCTGTTTGTTTCCTTTAAGGGTTGTATTCATGAGTTTAATTATTATCGTCCACTACTTTTTTTGGATGACACATTTTTGAAAGGCAGGTATAGAGGTAATCTTCTATTGGCTATAGGAAAAGATGAAAACCAAGGTATATTTTAATACAATTTTTTGAATGATAAATTTTGTGGTTAATTTATAATCTTTATGTTATACTGTCTTTGTTACACTTTATTTGTTATATTGTTACACTTTCGTTGTTACATTATTTTTGTTATATTGTTACACTATGATATGAGAACATTTAATAGTGAGTATACATACATGGTTTAATTTGAAATAG